TACCTTATGAAAAATATTCTCCCAAAAAAATGATTTCTGTCGTACTAAACACACCCTTAATCTTAGCATATTTCCTTATTACCACAAGGACTAAATTTAATTTGTCTGACAATGTTGGAATTATTGATTTTGGATTTCCAGGTATTACAAACAATTTTAGACCGTGGAAAGATGCTTAAATTCCCTGATGGCATTCAGATCAATGGCCTTGGTCCTGATGGTGCAAAATTCACTGTTGAACCAGGTATACATTGAGTCTTTCTTTTTCAAGAACCATTTGTTAACTTTCACGTGAAAAGTAATGAGCTGAAATGGATGATAATTCTCCAGGGAAAACATACAGGTTAAGAATATCCAACGTGGGACTTCAAAATACACTGAACTTTCGAATTCAGGGACACCAGATGAAGTTGGTTGAAGTTGAGGGAACTCATACAATACAAACTACATTGTCTTCTCTTGATGTGCATGTTGGTCAGTCCTACTCAGTGTTGGTCACTGCAGATCAGCCCGCTCAAGACTACTACATTGCTGTTTCCAGCCGCTTCACCACTCAAATTCTTAATTCCACAGCCATTCTTCATTACAGCAACTCTAAAAAGCCGGTTTCTGGACCACCTCCTCCAGGGCCGGCCACTGACATTTCTTGGTCCCTGAATCAGGCTCGTTCTATTAGGTACTCCCTCCATTTCATCTTGTTGAAGCTATTTGACTACATACGAAATTTAAGAAGAAAAAAAGACTTTTGGAACTTGTGGTCTTAAACATATCAGGACATTTTGTGGCTATAAAATCAGGTCACTCGGGACAATTTCTAAATATAGAAAGGTGTCGTATTTGCTGGAGAAAACTGAATTCAATGACACCTTTATTTATTTTTAGACAACGCATGTACTTGGGTTATTCTTTTTCTTGAATTGAAAGGGCATTGTGAAACTGATTCTTTCTATGATTTACAGGACAAATCTTACAGCCAGTGGACCAAGACCAAACCCTCAAGGCTCTTACCATTATGGTCAGATAAATGTCACTAGAACAATAAGACTAGCAAATTCTGCTGGCTTAGTTGATAGAAAACAGAGATATGCAGTTAACGGAGTATCATTCATCCCTGCTGATACGCCGCTTAAGCTAGCAGACTATTACAATATCAAAGGAGTATTCGAAGTAGGAAGCATCACTGATCACCCTACAGGTCGACACATACACCTTAACACAGCAGTTATGGGAGCAGACTACAGAGCGTTTGTTGAGATTGTTTTTGAGAATAGAGAGAACATTATGCAGAGCTGGCATCTTGATGGTTACTCTTTCTTTGTCGTCGGGTATTTACTCCTTAGCATCTCATTCTGTTCATAACAAACCACATGCTTTTAGTTACTTAATTAAACAATAAAGTTTTGTAATGTTCACAGAATGGATGGTGGTAGATGGAGTCCTGCTAGTAAAAAACAGTACAACCTTATAGACGCAATTTCACGCTGTACCACACAGGTTAGAATAATATAATGAACTTATTACTAAATATTACTCAATAGTATTATTTTTCACAATGTCATTTTGATAAATGTTGAATAAGAAGTAGAAATGTGACGCCTTGTGAATTTGTATTGGCTTTGACAGGTTTATCCAAGATCATGGACAGCAATATATGTGCCCCTGGATAATGTAGGAATGTGGAACCTGAGGACTCAATTCTGGGCAAGACAGTATCTTGGCCAACAATTTTATTTGCGAGTATATACACCAGTTCAATCATTCCGCGACGAATATCCTATTCCAAAGAGTGCTTTGCACTGTGGCAAGGCCAGGGGTAGAGCCATAAGAGCATTATAGTTCTCTCAAAAGAAAAAGAAAAAATGACCTCTTGGCATCTTTATATGGCTGCTAATCTTTTTTCACTTGCAATTATTTTACTAATCCAACCCCATTCATTTTCACTGTAATTCGCATTATCGCTTATTAGGAATGTACTTAGCTTTGGCGTTTGTAATCTGTCACTAATTATGTATGAAATGTGGTTTAAAGTTCCCCAATTACAAATAACAAGTCTCAGAGAGTTTATACATGTTGTTTTCCTTGTTAAGAAGCCAAGATTGGTCCATTCTGGAGGCATGGGGGTCACTGTCACAAATACAATTACTCCATCAATAACTTCATCAGACAAAAATAGTAACCATCTCCAATACAGAATGGAAGTAAGTCCAATAATAAGGAACAAATATATAAGACATTTCTCACTTGCTTTCATCGTAGTAACAAGAACTTTTCAACTCTTTTGCATAAAGCAATAAGAAAAATTTCCTCAAAAGAACAAGACTCAATAATCCAAGTTGATAAATACGCATGCAAGAGAGACATTTTGACTGTTCCATAAGAATGGAATAATTAATTAACAGTGTGATTATCACCACAAGTAATGCCGGTTAGGGACAATATGAAAGATAAACATACAGTGCAGTCCGCCCAATCTTGTGCTTAGCTGGTAAACTGTCTTCTTCTGCTTTGGAAAGTAAACGCATAATCCTCTTATGCTCAATTGAATAGCCTATAAATTACCTTCTCTCCCGGAGGAAAATATTGCATCGGTATGTATAACTAACTCAAACATACCGAGAATTTAGGTAGAGGGGACAGAAGGGAATTACACTAAAACAACCTCATTTCACCATGGAAAAGATATGTCATTTCTCTCTTCTTATTGTCCTGAGTCTATCGACATTTGGCCCCAACTTAGTCAATGCTGATGCACAGCAGCCAGCGCCACCGCCTATTTTCATACTAGGGGATTCAACAGCAGATGTTGGAACTAATTCTTACATTCCTGACTGCAATGCAACAGCTAACTTTCCTCATAATGGCATTGATTTTGTCCACTCAAGGCCAACTGGAAGATTCAGCAATGGCCTAAACAGTGCTGATCATCTTGGTTAGTGATTACTAAAGTTTTAGCATTAGGTCTAAGGAACATAACCAATAAGATTTTGAGAAGTCATTCCTACTTGTTCTACATCATGTCATATATATAGTCATTTCACTATATTTTGGTATGGTGGAGTCCGAGCTAGCGCGAGCGCACCTCGACTATTCCACCTAGTACCTGCTATCTCCAAACAACACAGGTATCATGTAACTCCGCCCAAGCTATGGCTTAGGCAGATGAGAAGAAATTACCAAGTGTTTTTGGTCTCTAATGGGATTTGACCAGGTCTCGCATGATTTTCACTCATTACATTGACCACTAGATCACACCCTTGGGTACAGTCATTTCACTATTACATGTAGAGCGCTAATGAAGGATCTTGCACTTTCTAACTGCAGCAAGGCTTTTCGGATACAATAGCAGTCCGCCCCCTTTTCTATTTCTTCACAGCCTGAAATACGGTCTTCAATTGGGAATATATCGAGGTGTAAACTTCGCCTCAGGAGGTTCTGGTCTCCTCGATGAGACTGGTTTACAGCTGGTAAGGCTTTTCACTAGTATGACTTCAGATTCCTGAATAATATGCTCAATAATCATCTCACAAAAAGAAAAAAGAATTTTTATTTATCACTGCAACGTCCGAATATGTATTTTTACCTCTCTCTCTCTCTCTCTCTCTCCAAACAGAATGTCCTGAACTTGCCACAGCAGATCAACCAATTTGTCACTGTACGCAAAAATCTGACCGCTGCACTTGGTCATGAATCAACAAAAGCAATGCTCGCAAGATCTTTGTTCTGCATCAGTACCGGAAGCAATGACATCTTTGTTTATTTCAAGACCAGAAGTACAATGCCTAAAGAAGAGTTTATCAACCTTCTCATGGAAGCGTATGAGAACCACATAAAGGTTGGTCTTCTACTTAAAATTCTTCCTTCAACTTGCATAAGTAGAAACTCAAAGATGGTGTTTATCAGAAGCTAACACCACATTTGCTATATAACAGACTTTGTACAGCCTCGGAGCACGCAAGTTTGGCATCATTAGTGTGCCACCAGTTGGTTGTTGTCCAGCCAACAGACTTTTGAACGCAACAAAGTGTTTCGAGCCTATGAATGATTTTGCCAGATGTTTCCATTCAGCTCTTGACAAGCTAATGTGCAACCTAAGCTCAGAGCTGCACGGGATGAAGTATGCGCTAGGGGACACATACAAAATGACCATAGACGTTATAGATAATCCTCGTCCCTTCCGTAAGCACTTCTCTTGACAAAATAACAGTGTGCTAAGGATTAAAAGTTCTACAACTAAGAAAGAATCTCTGATTCTACTACTCTAAATTATCTGTGCTAATTATAAAAGTTTTAAACTACAATTTATTTTCATATAAGTCTAATACTCCTTTTTGGTAAAACTGATAAATATGTGAGAATGTGAGAATGTTGTTTTTCTTGGATTTCAGACTTCTCAAATGTGGACACAGCCTGCTGTGGACATGGAACACTAAACGCCGAAGGAATTTGTAATGCAACAGCTAATCTTTGTTCAGATCGCAGAAAGTTTGTATTCTGGGATTTGTTCCACCCAACACAAGCTGCTGCACAGTTGGCGGCTACTACACTGTACGGTGGTCCAACACAATATGTTTCTCCAATTAACTTTGCTCAGCTGGCTGCAGAAAATTAGTGTCATTGAACCTGCCAAGTCAATGTCACAGATTGTTACTTTCTCCTCTCAGTCTCTCCATTACACTTCCAATAATGTCCTACTCGTGGTTCCTCTGCCTTCGAGTATTTGGAATCTTTTTGATTATGTGTGAAGTTACTTGTAGTCATTCCATGCATCTCAATACTAGTTGAGAGGACTGAAACAACGTTTCTCTTGTTCCGTGATGTTTTATGAAATTGAAGAAATAAGTCACGATCTTCAGGCCGAGCTCATATAATCCTCCCCAACCCCCCGAGTAACCAAAAAGGAGAAAAACAATCAACATGATGTCTTAAATTGGAAAAGAAAAACCAAAAAAAAAAAAAAATTGTAAGGGCTACAACGTAGAGCTTACACTTGAGGAATAGTGTTTGACAGCATAATGACATTTCCATTGGTACTCAAATATCACTTTGACATAGAATACAATCTCCTAGAGAAATGGTTTATTTAATTCTCTTTTCTTTCTTTATATTTAGTGACCGGGTTGAGAGCGAATCGTGGTATTGGCGAACAACAAAAACACAGTATAGACATTCCAATATATCATGGGAAACTCAAGAATATGTGATTAGCTATCCTCTATCAACATGGTCTCATCAGAATCTGATGCGTAGCATCTGCACAAGCAACTTTCATCTTTCAAACCAATTCCATCCAGAAGCTCTTCTCTCTTTCTCTGCAGTTCTAACCAGTGCTCTGGCTCCTCAAATAAACGCAGAATCTGCACACCAACAAATTTAAAATCTTCCATTCTATTTCAGCACCATTCGCGTTATTTTTAGCATCACTCATAAACTTCGATAGATGCAACTAATTTAGGTTTCCATCATCACGACTTCACAAACTTAAGAATATCTCTGCTAGTTGATGCCACTTTTGTATGTTAAGTTTGTAAATATGAGAAGCAAATTTAATTATCTACATTTGCTTTCTTTTGGTATAGAATGCGATTTGTAAATGAGGCTGAAACATTGTCAGATCTTAGAATCCCTACAAAGATAAATGGAATATGTCTTGTTTTGCATTTTGCTGTAAATGTTACATCACGTTCTTAGAGCTTGATATATTCGATAAAATTTTACTTTACTGATCAAGAAAATTAGAAGAATATCCAAAATCTTTGCTCTGTTGAAATGAAGTCAATATGAAGGAAATGTCTAAAAAAGAAGTATAAGACCCAAAAAAGGACTTACTGTTTTCATTGTTGGCCTCCTTGAAGATGAATGCAAGAGGCAGAGCCGTGCTGCAAGTATCATTGTTTTCATCTCATCTTTGTTGTAGTTCCCACTTAAGTCAGGATCAACAAGAAGATCACAAAGACCACAACTGAGTATAGACCTCGCCTGCGATTCACATTATCTAGAGTCAAAATCATTGAAGAAAATAAACATTGTTTATCTTTTGAAGTAGGCATACATTCTTCGTATTATTACCCACAGCACTAAGCTTTCATGATGAGATTCCAGGTCTGTTTGGATGGCCTCTTTCCCTGTGATCAATTCCAACAGGACTACCCCGTAAGAGTATACATCTATCTTTTCATCAACTTTGCCATACATAATGTACTCAGGCGCCAGGTATCCAAATGTCCCAACAACGTGAACTGGTTTCACAAAAGCTGAATCTTGCTGAGTTTGCTGGTGTACTATTGCTGCTCCAAAATCTGATAGCTACGTTTCAGCTTCAAAAATCATCAAGTGTAACAAAAGCGGATGTAGAAACTATATCATCTACAACTTATCAAATTGAGTATCTAGGCAGTGGACGTGCATAAATTTTTTTTTGAAGTCGGGACCAATCCAATCTTCACTAATTTGGCCTAAACGCAACTACTAGATTTAGATCAACTCATATCATCGTCATTATTTATCTTTAAGGGTCCAAAATATGCCTTAGGTATGCTTAAACGGTTTATCATAGTTATGAGAGCAAAAACCAAAAACCAAAAACCAAAAATCAAAAAAAAAAAAAAAAAGGAATTAGATAATCCTAACACCTCTTAGACTAGTCAGCGAGCATCTTCCTATAGCATAGTTTCACAATGGCAATCAGTGAAACACAAAAACAGGCTAATGAATATGAGAAGCCATCTAATGTAGGAAACCGAGCTAATAAGATACTTACTTGTGGGTGGCAATCGCCAGATAAGAGAATGTTTGATGATTTCACATCTCTGTGAATGATGGGAGGGGTTTGAGAATGGAGGTATTCTAATCCCCTTGCCACTCCTATAGCAACTTGCATCCTTGTGTTCCAATTAAGCTGTTTTAGCCTTTGCTTTAAACTGTCCTTCAGTAGATTATACACGATTGCTTCCATATCCTTACTGTAACAGTAACCGACAAGCTGAATTATGTTCTCGTGTTTCAGATTGCTCAATATTTCAACTTCCCCGAACAGATCATCTTCGGAATATTGTGTGTTTTTAAGGACTTTCACTGCTGCAACCTGCCCGTTGTCGAGATTGGCTCGATAGACTCTACTATGACCACCCTCTCCAGTCAACAGATTGGGACTGAAGTTATCTGTTGCACATCTAAGTTCATCAATTGTGAAGCGTCTGGTGCAGCAAATCATCTCTAAATAAGCTAACCTCTGAAACAGATTCTTAGCTGCAGTATTTTTGTGCTGCAAATACTTCCTGGTCCTAGGAAAAGTTGCATTTTCAGTCGGCTGTGATGACGTTGATGTTGAGGAACACGGCATTGACAAAGATTTTTGAATCAGATACTTATTTCTCGACTCTGTAGAGCCGCTGGAAGCTGACAATGAGGGCTCAGATGAATGTAGAACTTTAATTGGAGCGCCTTCTTGTGAAGTCCCCGGCTTCTGGAGTAGGACTTTTCCTCCCTTATCCATTACAAGAAGTAAGCAAGTAGGAGGCAATTCTTTCAAAAGTTTGCCAACAATCTTATCACTGGACTTGAACATCAAAAGTCAAAATGAGACAAATAAAGGGAGAGGAACCACCAAAACGGTCCCTGTAAGCAAATAAGGGAGGAACTATGTATACCAGGGGCTGCTGCATCCAACGGCAAGCATTGTGGCAAAGTTTATACGTACTTGATTACTCAGCTCACTTATATACGACTCTCCTACACAAACCTTGATGTGAAAATCCACCTAAAAAAAGAAAATTGTACAACTATGGAATTAGCAATTTAGCAACCAATTAGGGGGAATAAGCAATATGTCAAGTGTAAATGAAACTTGGGAATGTAAAATGACCTGCTTGGATTTGCAGATATCCTCATGCCTGTGAAAAGTATTTGGATCAAAAATATCATTAGGTTGTTGTACATGAACAGCCAGAACATAGTCTCCGGGCATTACCACTGAAGTGAGCAAACGAAGCAGCATTTCTCTGCTGCTATTGTCGGATTTGAGACCGACCACAAGTGTTCGCTTCTTGGCCTTGGGTACTCTCCTGCTTCTCAGGAGTGAGGAAATTCCTCCTTTGGCACTTGAACTACCAAACATTGTACACACTCAGGGCCAATGCCGGCATGCTATTGCCAATTGATCCAACGTTGCTAGAGAGAGGTGGATGCAATATATAATCAACAGTTCGAATCTGGCCTTTTTGTATTGAGTATAGAGATTTATATGTGAAAAATCACTGAATTTCAAGAAATATTAAAATCTAAACCCATTGAGAACATAAAAGTTGAGGGCACCAAGTTTAAATTTTGAATCGTTGTCAGAGTGCTCATGGAGGTGCTTTTAAGTTTTAAGTTACCTATCAATATCTGAGAAACAATGATGTATAGGCATTAGTTATGGCGGCTGATGTGATTTGTGGACCTTCACAATAAATTCCAGTAGGTTGGTATTAACATTTACTATAAGGTTGATAATGATAGGTACAGAATTAGATAAAATTCAACTCGCTCGCACTGTGCCGACACTTCATTTATAAGAGTTTTAATGAACTTCCAATTTTATAACCTGTGAACCATTTCTCCACCTTCAGATATTACAATGTAACCAATGACAAGATGAAATTTTGATGGATTCACCTTGGTGCCATAGTAGCATACTTCTAAATTATGTATAAATATCAATGATATTTAAGACCAAAGCCAGATCCTATTCAGGACCAAAAAAAAAAAAAAGTTAAAATAATTTCTTCTTATTTGCCTAAGCCTTGATGGACAAGTTTGAAATTGTCGTTCTCGGAATATAGTACTATCAAGGATTAACAGATGAAACCCTTCAAAGAGGTAACGAGATATTGCTCAAACACGGGAAAGATGTTCTCCAGGCATGCATCAAGGATACTTGGGCAAATTCTGCACATGATGCAATAAGGCGAAGTTTGATATGCACCAAATGTACGTTCTGTATCAAATCGCATAAATGCAACAGGACAATGACTTGCACCAACTCCTATACGTGAAAAAGCACCAATTGGGATCTCCCTTTAATGTTCCTTTATTGTACTTTACTACCCACTACCCACTTATGTCATACATACCGAACATAGAAACTCTTTCTAATATGAGTTTCTCTAACCCTTTATTTGTTCTCAAGCATCAACTCCACAAAGTACTTTACACCAAAAGAGTAGTATCAAGTATAGATACCTTAACCTCTAATCCAACCTAGCCTAACAGTAAAAACACAATGATCCGTACTCCTCTCATAACTCCGTTTTCTGACTTTTTTGACTCCCCAAAACAAAATCAAGGGGAAATAGGCATTTCACAACTTTCCTCAAGTGTCCACCATCAACCAATTGAATAGAAGTCAATTGACCAGAGTAACGTCTATTCGAAATGGAGAGATAAAAGATATTGGAATTATAATCATAGAGTTGAGCCACTCCGGCTACTAAACAGGAAATTATCTAATGCCTTCGCACATTTTCCCTTCATACATCCGATTACATTCCCTTCTTTTACCCTTTGCTTCTTAAAAGGGTCAAAAACTTATTATTGAGTGTATTATGCACTGTCAAAAACCGAGGACTTATTTAATACTAGTACATTATTTACAGTTAAATGACAGAAAAACATCACGAGTACTGTGGAGCAGACATTAATTTTGTAATAATACACAGGAGTTAGTATCTAATTAGGAAGCGTTACACTTGCAACCAGAAGCAACATACTATAAGCACACCCAAACATCTGTGGCAGAAGACTTTCAACACCAATCAGGTCACACTATATACCATCAACATATCCCCACAGCTGCAGCACCTTTCTCAGTCCATAGGACCTATTGCCACCACATCAGCACAAAGTGCACCTAAGATTTATCTGCAATCTGCACAAATTTAAGATCAAAAGATCAAGCAATACTCTGTTATAAGGACTGCAAACAATTAAACATGACAATATATTAGGAGAAACTTAAGAACCCCAACTACGTGAATTATCCAGCATCTATGCAAATCAAAACTGTGACCATTGACACCTGATCATTCAGCAAAGCTCTTCAAATGCCTCTTACATGGAAATTAAAGGTTTAACAACAACAACAACAACAACATACTCAGTGTACTCCCACAAGAGGATAGTATGTATGCAGACCTTATTCCTACCTTGTGAAGGTAGAGAGGCTGTTTCCGGTAGAATTAAAGCTTTGAGAAGTCAATTTATTATATACCAATCTACATCTTATTTAATAATCAATGCTGAGGGAAACATAATCGAGGGGTTTAGCTTTGCCCAAAACTATTTATAGACTCCTTAATATCACTAAAATTGTTGTCGAGAGGGTAAAAATAGACCACAGAAAGAAATGCAAGGCTTTTCGAGATCAGAAATGAATCTGCATTATAGTAAAATATAGATGTATATCGTTCAATTAATGATGTAGAAGCAATGGTTGATTTTTTTAGCACAACGCATAACAAGTAATGTAGCTTACTATACATGCTGCCCAGCATACAGTTAATGCTGCTAACTAATAAAAGTACCCCTTTACTGATTTAAGAAAAAGTTAAATAAACCAGAGAGCCAAAACAATGATTTTCTACTTCAACTTCTTTTACTTTAGAATTTAAATACAAAAGAAAGCGACAAGTAATCAAGTCATAAGAAAAATATGAAGTCTGAGCAATACTATGTACCTATTAGTTTTACAGCCAATTCTCATGTGAACATTTTTTAGTTGTCACTTCTCTGAATTAGCGGCCCGGTCCTCATTAGCTTCTAAACTGGCAGAATCGTGAGACATCAGAAGTGGTAAGTTGATTTTTGGTCTTTATTCCCTAGTCTCATATAGGTTAACTTCATTCATTCCATTCTTAGAGATAGGATGGATCCACCGGAAAAACTGGAGCAGTATGTCCATTAGCCGAAAGAAATTAGTTATTCTCCTCAAGCCAGCTTCTTGTAGATTGAACTCTCTTCTCTTTAGGCTCCGAGTTCTTTGTCGGAGATGGTCTTAGCTTACTTAAACTATGGTAAAACTTACCCGCGCATGGTGTCTACACCAATCCAAGGAAAACATGACATGTCTTCACACAAACTCTTACCACTAAACCATATCTCACAATAAGTTATGACTTAACCATGTACTAATTTACCATAAACATGAGACACCCCCAAACAAACTCTTATCACTAAACCAAATCTCACCTTAATTTATGACTGAACCATGCTATATTAGCACTCTCTCCGTTTAAATTTATGTGAATCTATTTCATTTTTAGTTCGTGTTAAAATGAATGACCCCTTTCCTTATTTGAAAATAATTTACCTTTATGCAATAATTTATAGCCACACAAAATATATGTGCCTCATTTTACACCACAAGTTCGAATGTCTTCTTTTTTCTTTAAATCCGTGCCCAGTCAAATAGGCTCTCATAAATTGAAACGGAGGGAGTATATTTTAGTGTAAACACTGGGTGCGGGTTAATTTTTACCTTAAACTACACCTAAAAGTAGAAAATGCACTCATGCAATAAAATAAAATAAAAAATACAATAAAAATGAATAAAAAGTTGATAAATAAATGAGATATCTATTACAAAGATGTTCCAATATATGTATGCTACATCACATAAATAACATCTATAAGCATAAAAAACGTTTGTTTATACCTCAGCCTATTTGGTTTTTTTTATGCATTTGATTTGTTCATCAATCATTTTCGTATTCTTAGTGTCTTACATTATTCATATTTCAGTTAATCTATTAAATGAAACTTCAGTCACGTTTAATTAAACCTACATATCATACCGCCGATATGTAAAGTACACATGCAGCCAGATGCCCAGCAAAATAAAAAAAATTATCTCGAAGATCCAGCAATATTGTCCAATGTATTCATGTTTCCGCAAGTGTGATTGTTTCACTAGAAATGAACTCCGCGCATCCAAACGGAAAAGCAATTAAACTTTAAAGTAGCCTTGAAGCTAGTGATAGAGTGAGAACATCCAGAAGCTGGAATAACAGATCCAACCACCACATAAACCAAATAAAATTGATAAAACACCGGCATACAATTTGGAAATGAACTTGGATCAATTTGAATAATCAGTTGCATGAGCCTGAAATTATTAATTGAGAAGGTGGTGAACATTATTTCCATCTAAAAAACTCAGTTCGAAACATTTAGCTTTGGCTATTCCTACTTTCAGCAATCAAATCCAGTGTCAACCTTCACAAGCTCCTGGAATGTGTTGGGAAATTCAAAATTGGCCAATGTCACAGAATTTATAGAGAAGATTTCATTAAATACGCTAACCTTGGTATGGTAATCATCCAACGATTCATCAAGGATTATTCAATTCTGACCTACACTACTCATGTACTGTAGACAAATACCAGGGAACTATGCATAAAAACCATTTAGAAAATGAAAACAAACATAAAGACTATTTGAGAAAACAGTCCAAAATTATGACCCCTCTATTATCAATTTAATCCAAACTTCATGAAGCTAAAGTACCTGGTTAAGAGGATTATCCGGAGACTTCTTCCATAGCTTCCAAATCAAGTCTTTATACTGAGTGTGTGTCAAACCTGGTTTTTCCTCCTTTAGAACACGAAGCTCAGCCTCCTCAAAAGCCTAAAAGTACCAGAATTAACAGCAGAAATAAAAATGCGCAGCATAACCTTAATTATGCTAGTGCAAAATCAGAAAGTAACATGCTGAGAACATTTTATACAATTATACATATAAATAAAATAATTGTCTATTGCCAAGAAAATCCAGCATAAGATTAAGTTGTACATGCTAAAGAAAACTTCCAAGTAAGAGGGATCAACTTCTATTCTTACAAAATTACTATAACATAAATCCATAATCAATCAACTACCCGCAATACCAAACTAGTTGATAACTTGATATTACGAACAAAGTTGTGTGGGCGATAAGTATTCTTATAACCTTAAGCAAAGGTCTCCAGTTCGAACCCTCGGAATAGAAAGGCAGGGAGCTTCACCCCCAAAGTGGGACTATTCTGGATTAGTCCGCCCAAAGCAAGTGACAAACACCGGGTGGGTAAGCATAAAAATTAGCTGATATTCGGTATATATATCCTCTATATCATTATGAAATGCAATCAGCAATCAGCAATCAGCATTCAGCATTACGCGGAGACTCTTTATCATTAAAATTATAAATAAAACCGCAAGCAAAAAGCTACTGAGAAATACCTTAAAGGCAGCTCTGAGTCTCTTCTCAGGATGTCTATCAGGTGGCAAACTATCTGAAATAGCCAATGAAGCAATGGCATCATCCACAGTACTAGCCTCAATAATTGAATCATCACGATTCCTATTAGTTACAAGAACCATTTTTTCATACTCCTCCTCCGCCGCCATACGGCTCTGCCTCCGCTTCTCCTCCTCCGCCTTCTTCGCTAACGCCACTTGCTCCTCCTCCTTTCTCCGCCGAAGCTCCGCCTCGGTCACCTTGGGTACTGGAATCGAGACGCGATTGGCTTTCTTATCCGGCTTCTTCATCGACTTCTCGAGCTCTTTTTCCTCCAGCTCGGCAAGTCTACGCGCCTCCGCTTTCTTTGCTGCGGCCTCGGCTCGCTTCTCGGCTTCTTCTTCGCGTTTTTTGGCGGCACGTGACTTCGCTCCCTCGGCTTCGCGCCAATACTGCTCTTCTTTTTCCCGAGTTTCACGGACTTTGCGTTCGGATTCGGCGGCGCCCTTTCGAGCCCTAGCCGCTTCGGCTTTACTATTTACTCCCATTTTCTTCGGCGGCATCTTTCTTTGCCGATTTCACGATCAACCTCCTCTTTTCCTTTTTGAGCTCAGCGAGAATTCGGAATCTAGCTATGCCCTGTTCCTGCTCGTGTGGATGCTTTTGTCAAAAACTAACCGAATCGTTCGTGTGGATGCTTCTCATGACCGACTCTGGCGAAGTTGCAGATGCAATTGGGCCACCAAATGGGTGGGCCTAAAAGTGAAATAATAAGGAATTTTTAATTTTAAATAAATACCCAAATACCCTTTAATATTATATTTCATAGATACCTTTTAATTTTTATAACCAAATATCTATTTATGGTCACCTCCTACCCTTAAGCCATAAAATACGTTTTGTATTGGCACGCAGTCTTGTTTTCTGTTGGTAGTAGGTTTTGATGACTAACTATTGTTTTCTTTCATTGTTGATCACTTTATTGTCTTGTTGTGTATTTTGCTTTTATATGCCTTTTTTATATTGCCTCTTCTTGCCTATAATTTTATTAATGTGGTACTTATACTATCTTGAGCCGAGGGTCTATTGGAAACACTCTCTCTATCCTCACAAGGTAGGGGTAAGGTCTACGTACACACTACCCTCCCTAAACCCCACGGTGTGGGATAATTACTGGGTATGTTGTTATTGTTGTTGTAATTCTTTCAGATTTTTCTCTCACAAAATTATCGTATTTGATGTAAACTTCTCTCTCCAATTTCTCTCACTCACATCGCCATTCTCGAATACATTCTCAGAACCCACGATTCTTCACTTCCAATTTCTCTCACTCTCATCGCCATTCTCTTCCCCTTTCTCAGAAACCACGATTCTTTACTTCTTCATCTGCATTGTCTCTCTCAATTTTCTATATTTTTTACTCTAAATAGTTGTGGTAAGTATTTAAGTTGTTAGATTTTCGCTTTTACTGTGTTTATTCTATTCTACTAATTTTTAATAAATAATAACAATTGTTATGCTAAAGTTCCTCTCCAATGGCTGATACAACATCCCAGAAGAGGGTTACTATAGGTATACCCACCAAAGGACTCAATTTCGATGGGCCCTCTTTCTCTTTGCAAATCACTCAAGCGAAATTGAAATTTGCAAGTTCAACAGCAAATACAGTTACAGAGAGGAGAACTAAAATATGCAATGACACATCGAAAGAAGTCCAAGTTGAGAATTCTTCGAAAGAATCAACACTTCCCAGTGCGGAAAAGAGAAGAAAACCTATGGATAATGCTTCTGGTGTTAAGGGAAATGAGGTCGATGCAGGAACTATAATAAGAGAAACACATTGGAGAAGGTAATACTCAATGTATGAGGACTCAAACACATATGGATACATCAACAATTACCTTCTCCAATGGGTTTCTCTTATTGTATGTTATTGTATTTATATGTGTGCAATAGTGGATACATTGCTTTCTCTTCTTTTATGTTCATATGATATACATGTATGTTGATGTATTCATAAGTATTCAAAAGTGGCTTCACTGAATTGTACCTTTTTAGTGACTTTTGCATATTGTATGTATTTATATGTATTCAAAAGTACCTTAACTGATTTGTAAATATTCTAGTGTTTTTTGCATATTGTATTTAGATGTGTTTAGACGTATTCAAAAGCTCATTCACTGATTTATGCTTATTACAGTGCCTTTTGCATATTGTATTTAGATGTATTTTGATGTATTCAAAAGTTCACTCAAAACATAAATGAGTTATGTATTGCAAAAGATTTATGAATTTTTTTTGTAATTTTTGTTGTATGCAGGAAATAAAATTATTTGTGAAACACCCGCCTATCACCGCATATCAATTCCTGCACTAACACGGACATAGTATCCGATCTCAAAGAAAAACCTACTCCAGAACAGTACAAAATATTTGGTACTACTTGTTTTGAAAGTTTCCTTGATATGAAGCGTTGTGAGATCCAACATCAATTGTTCAGGTGCTTCATGGTTTTGCAGCTGGAAGGAAGTCATGATGATTCACTTTCAATATACGTCAATGGTACAACATTATCCTTTTCAATCGGGGAGTTTGCGCTTATCACTGGTCTCAATTGTGTTGGTGACCCTGAAGATTTTCAGTTTAACACAAAGGTGCCTAACATGATTGTTAATACATACTTTGGCAGTGTAAAGAATGTCAAGAAGAAAGATTTGTTGAAATGCTTTGATGACAAGAATTGGGTTCACGACAACAATGGGGATGCCATCAAAATAGCTGTGTTGTATTTCATACACACTTTCATATTTTTCACCGAGAAGAACGTTTTTACCATCCCAAGAAAATATTTTGACTTGGTCGAGAGTGGGAGAAATTCTGATTATCCATGGGATAAGGATGCATTGCAATACCTTGTTAAATCTATTAGCAAGAAGATGGATTCTCAAAAGAAGTACTATAGGATAGCTGGAATACCTCTCGATATGCAAGTATGGTTTTACGAGTGTTGTTCAAAGGTTGGCCCCAAAATTGCACGGCAAGTTGATAATCGGATACCTAGAATACTCAATTTTTGGAAATTCACTGTCAACCAGCCAACTTATGCTTATTTGATGAACGGCATGTTCAATGACCAGGGAAACATGGTAATTTACTATTCGTTAAGTGGCTGAATTTTTTTTTAACAATATATTTCTGTTAGTGAAATCATTGTTGAAATTTTCATTGAAATATAGTTCAATGCATCATACATCAATGTCTCTGTTTCAAAATTAGGTCACATACTGTAGAATTACATAATATAGTGTTAGAACTAAATATTAAATACAGTTGCATACAACATACAGCTTACTTCTCTATTTTCCAAATTAACTGGAATACATAAGAATACAGAAAACAGTTTTACAGATACATATGTAATTCGACGAACATAACTTTGTAATCATTCAGCAAAGGTTGTTCATTTTGAGGGCATTTCTATTTTCAAATTGTTTACAGTGACATTCAACCAAGCGATATATCGCTTGCTGTTATTCAGATTCCTCGAGAAAGCGTTGATGTAATGAACAGTCCTATTCATTCAGACAACAATGAAGATGACTCAGATGACTTTAGTCATACAGCACCTCTTCAACTTAAGAAGAAACATGATGCAAGTGTTGGTTCATCTTCATCACCGCCTCACAAAAAGCGCAAACAACAGCTTATAGATCCCTCAATTGCAGAAAGTCCAATTCCACATGTGTCGGCAATACCTCAATCCAAGACTCCTCGTGTCGACATATCTGAAATCAAAGAAACTGTAATGCATGTTAAGAAGCCAGCAGAAGAGAAAGCAGATGATTTGTCTTCTTTGAAGAAGGATCTGCATTCAATAAAGGATTATGTGAGTATTGGTAAAACATATTCAACTTTACCATTTATGTATTAACTTTCATATAGTTTTCTAACACCTCTCTAATTATTTGGGTATTGATTAGGTGATGGACGAGTTCACTTCTCTACCAACATTGATCAATAAAAATTTCAAAAAGCTTTCTGATCAGGTTAAAGCCAATTAGAATTCAGAAAGGGTATATACTAGAGAAAGAAATATACCGGAAGACATGATGATGGTATTGAAATGTTATTTGATGCCAACTTGCAAGATAATCCCAAATGCCAAACACAGAGTGGTATAGCCGTTGAGGAGAATTCAGAAGTTAACATTTTTTAACCTTTTTGGTATATGTTTATATAACTATATTTAGAATATATATTGTGATTTGGTTTTTGCTATTATTCAGTTTAATCATATATACAACAACATACATAATACAGAATGCAAGTCTATACATGTTAATTCAGTTATACGTATGTATTCAGGATTATCTAACTACAGATTTTAAAACATCATTTATTATCCTTCGGTTTACTCATGTATACTGTAGCATACATATTACAGAATACAATTATATACATGTGAATTCAGTTTTACATATAATTTTAGGCTTTCTAAATACATTTTCTATCACAGCCTTCGCTATTCTTTAATTGAACCGTGTATGCATTAACATACATGGTTCATAGTACACTCATATACATATGCATACATTAACAGTATACACGCCTGGAAAAAAATATGTTATATTAATATATTCTATTGGTTATGTTATTAGACCATGCAAAGAAAGATGAACATCGGCATTCATGCCGATCAACACCCACATGCTATTTCAATCGGAGACACGTTAAATGCATCTACAAAGGTTTATCCTGTTTATGGTGAAGTAACAATGGAGGGGAATACTACATCTGAGGTGCCGTGTATCATACTACCTATATCTGATGAGGGTGTATCCAGATAAGTACATGTATCATAATTTGAGTTGGCGGATGAGTTTCTTCCAAGTCAAATTCCAGAAACTAGAATTGTGATACATCATGCACCAAAAAATGTTGATTCAACTCCTTTAACCTCTCATAGAAATCGGTGTCCAAGTCGATGGTATGCTTCGCCTTACGACACAAACTTCGGCTCCGCCAGTTAGTAAATTATTATATAAAAAAATATATATTATATAGTTATGATCTATTTCCCCATGATATCCATAATTAAATGTCTATATTAATGATTTTAACGAACTATAGGCACCTCAGTAAAGTTGATACACACATTTGACAAAAAACACCCCTTTGAAGATGATTTCATATCGGGGTCACATCCTACACTAGTCATTCAAGAATACGAGAAATGGGTTCGTGATGGTCTTCTTGCTAAACATGATAAAAAGTAATTTCTTTTTTTCCGATATGTATAATATGGTTTTATCAATTAGAAAGTGGATATAATATTTTTTTCAATTCCTTGTAGAAATGATATGGAAGAGCATTACAAATAAAACAAGTCAACACTGCATATACCGTTGGATTTTGAAGTTGATCAAGCCACTTAAAAAAATTGGTTTTAACTTCTCTTATTTGACGGTAAACTATGGAATGACAATGTAAGATATAACCCTTCTAAATTCAGTTTAATTCATATTTCTCTGTTTGGTTTGTCTAATTGTATATTTCACAATTTTGTTAGTGACATGCAAATCATGAATTCATCGTATTTATATTGTACATCTGGTATGTAGAAAGATGTATTCTATATTAACGGAAATACAGTTAAATATTGTATTCACTGTTCCTGGGATGTAGAGAGATGTATTCTATATTAACATAAATATAGTTAAATACTGTATTCACTGTTCCTGGGGCAGTATTATTTGCTGTTGTTGTTTTTGTTGAATGAGTTCTCTATATTCAATGTATCTAAATGTATTTAGATTTCTATTTGTTTCACTGTTTTATCTTGAAATTTGTTAAAAGTTGTATGTATTCTTCATTAGTTTTTTAATGAATGACTGATACAGAGCAGATTTATAGTTACTAGTATGTATTTAACTGTATGCAATATTAAATACTCAAATATATTCAACAGTATGTATCTAATTGTATACATTATATTCAATTGGTTTCAGGCAGTACTGCCTTCTATAATCATTTTCTTCAACATACAATACCTGTATATATAAAGTTTCTTCAATGAAGTTTGTTTTCATTGATTTCATTCAATAAACTGACGCTATGTATTCAGTTTTATATATAGCATATTGATGTCATATTTGACTACATGAGAAAGAAGTGTAAGTACAACCAAACCACCACCTTCAAGTATACAACTGTTGATTGTATATTCAAGAAAAGAATTGCTGAAATCTTCGACATGTATGCTGATACAAATAGTAATGCAAGTGTAGCCAAAGAAGAGGATGTGGTATGTGAGTACATAAGGGGCTACAGATTGCTAGCTAATGTACCATGACATACTGTTGACAATATCTTGATACCAGTCAGCTTGAAGGACAAACTTCATTGGTTATTGGCAGTTGTCTCATTCAAGGAGAGATGTATCAAAGTATATGACTCATACAGATCAGCAAGTCATGATGCCTATGTGGGTTCTAAGATAGATAAGCTTGCTAAGCTTGTACCTCTGTATCTATCGATCAGTGATTTTACAGAGAAAAGCAAGACATAGATTGGTCTCATGACTGAGCATACAATGACAAGGCAGAAACTGATCCCTTTGATGTTGTTTTCATTTCGAATCTGCCTCAACAAAATTCTGGGAGCATGTATGTAATCAATCCTCTTGCTTGTATCATTTATATAACTAATAATATGAATTATTTTTAATTGCGTCAATCTACATTTCCAGGGATTGTAGGTTGCATGTCGCGGTAGACGTAGAGTATCTGAGCACTTTTGGTTTGGTTCCACAAACAACATTTGATGCCAATTTACTCCGTCAAAGATATTGTGCCCTCATTTGGGACTATGCTGTACGGAAGATAGACTCTGATGCCATAAGAGAGAATGAAGCACCCTCAAAGATTGTTAGGCAATTCACGGATTCGGACACTTCTGTGAAGATAGTTTTAGAATTGTTTTCGTGAAGATAGTTTTAGAATAGTTTTCGGTGAATATAGTATTGGAAGATAGTTTTGTGTGAACACAGTTTTTGAATTTTTTTTGGTAAAGATGGTGTTCTGTTAAGAAAAAACTCATATTTTCACTTTATGTAATGTATCCACGGTGTTTATTCAGCAGTTTATAATTTGAAATATTCATGTTGTTTCAATGTTTCGTGCAACAGTTACTATTCAGCAGGTTGTATTCATATGTATTCAGCAGATGCATATATACAATATGCATTCATCAGTACTCTAAAATTAATCCTTTAGCAGATTGTATTCATATGTATATAGATATATGTAGCAGGTTTTATATTCATCATGTAATGGTATATATTTAAGAGATTGTGCTGTATGTGTATTGTATTTTATATTCACATGTATTCAAATATATTCAGGAGATTAATATATTCAGGAGATTGATCTGCATTTGTATACACATACAGTATTCAAATAAATTTAGCAGATTGTATTCATATGTATATATGTATTCAGATTATTCAGCAGATTGTATATTCATCATGTTTTGAGATAAATTCAAGAGATTGTACTGTATGTGTACTGCCTTTTATATTCACATGTGTTCAAATATATTTTGTAGATTAATATATTCATGAGATTGTATTGTATGCATACTCCATTTTGTATTCATAAGTATTCTAATGTATTCAGATTGTATTACATGTGTATTGCATTTTTATATTCACATGTATTCAGTAGATTGTATAACCAAACCTGTGTGTATACATATTTATTCAACATATAAATGCAATATGTATTAAGCAGTTTATTAAATTATATTTTTTGTAGCTGTTCAAAAAGAAATCATCACGCAATAATCAAATACACCAACAAATCAATATGTATTATTCCAAAATGTCACCGGAATCTATGACACATCGTTATTTTAGTACTACAAGTCAGAACATGAACTAAGTCCTACGTGGAGCATTTCTACAAGTACGCTTATTATGTCCTCCATGCCCACATATGCTACACGAATGCTGATTTTTCTTCTGCAACAATTCAATGAACGACTTATCGCGTTTCTTCTTTAGCCTTCCAAGAGGTCTTATCTATTTAGGTGGTAAGACAGCTTCCTCTGATATATGTGCTGGTATATTCCATTCATTTCGATCAGGCAGCGGATGCACGGGCATCTCGTATGTCATTACAACAGACTTTGGTTTGTAATAGTCCGAGCAATAATCTTTTGGCATTAGAAACTTGCTCTAAAGGACAGCCCAAACGTGTAGGCATAGTAATTCGTCAACTTGGAATCGCCCGCAACTGCACTTTCTCTCTAAGAGGCAAACAATGTAATGCCTTCCTTCATCGTTCACTGTATGCAAGTATTCAGTCGATGGTACAACCTACATTTAAACATAGACCTATAAGTTTTGAACATTTTTAAAAAGTCATATATGTCTCAAAGAATAGACGTATTAAATAAAGTATAGATATATACAATAAAAAAACAAATAAAATATACAATCATACGTGTAGACATTGCCTCATTCAAAGAAAGCATTTCCTGGTATTTTTCTCTAACTTTGTGTACGTGTGTGAAGCTTCTTTCCGATTGCTGCAATTCCAACGTCCAAACATCTTCCTAACTTCTTTGAGGAAGTCGTATATTGGCAATTCTCTTGCTGACACAAGTGCGGCATTAATTGACTCAACTATATTTGACGTCATGGTCCATCCCCTGTTAACAAGTGCATACAACCTAGCCCACTTTTCGTATCCATCTAATTCCAAGTATTCTTTCACCCTAATATCTACCTTCTCCACCTTATCCATTAGACTATCAAATTCAGCCTGTGTGTATGTTTTTGCCATCGAGAAGTATATCTTGCTCAACTTTGAATGACTCTGTTTGAATTTCTTATATACGTTGTTCCATAGATGCCATATACAAGGAAATGTGGTACCGTTGGATACACTCTCGATACAGATTTGATGATGCTCTCATTCCTATCTGAAACTATACACATGTTTTCCCTCTCACCATATGCTTCCTTAAATTGCTCAAAGAACCACGACCAAGCAGCATCATTCTCTGAATCAATAACATCATATGCTAGTGACAGTATATGACCAGAAAATACAATTGCATACATATTAAAAATATGTATTTCAAAATTGAATAGGCAGTAGAATTAACAAAGTTTATTATAATCCTCACAATCATCTGCACCATCCAACGTGCCGGCCGAGACGAATGTCCCGGTGTATGTCGATTTTAGGTGGTTGCCATCCACAACCACAATGGGTCTACAATGATCGAACCCTTTTATAAAGGCATGCAAAGATATATACACATACATGAACTCATTTTTTGGCGATTTTACCATTCTAATGTGCGAATCAGGATATGTCATATCCATTGTGTATAGGTAACCTGGTAATTTATTGTATGAATCAATCGGTTCACCTCTCAAGAAATTCATCGCCTTTTCTTTAGCCCGCCACGCCAACATGTAACTAACATCAACACCAAAATCTGATTTTACATCATCAATTATATCCTTTGGGGTGTATTTCCTCTTATGATTAGTAAGCTTGGACCTAATCATACCACCGATAAGACTACTACTTGTTTGACGTTGCTCATACACCTTATCGTTCAACGGACATGTATGCTTATCATTGAACTCTCTCACTTTGAACATTTGTGATTTGTTAATGCTAGAAGCCTTAAATCTCCATTCACAATCCTCTGACATACATAATAATGTATAGCTACAAATAATTTATCATTATATATATGATCAGTATAAATGCATATAAAAATACACTCATATGCAATTGAATATATTGTTACATATATATACACATTATTATAAAATACACACATATACATTTGAATATGACTATCTATATATATGTATATATATATATACGTCTAATACATCTAAAAACAAATAGTGAAAGTCACTGTAATAAATATTTATTAGTAAAATACATATGAATACATGTATTTGAAATACATAACACATTCATAAGTACAACAGCGAAAGTCATATAAAAATATCCAATATATCTAAATACATCTTAATACAATTTAAAATTTCTACCATGAATACACTATACAAAAAATTATAAATACATAACATGATGTTCAACAAATTATAATTAAGAACACTCAAACATGATAGCATTAGACCTATCAACTCGGAATTGAAACCTTTCAGATATTGCATAGTGCTCCATCACCTCTTTCAATGTAGCCTTATCCTTATATACTTGTCCAGCCATAACCTCTCTTTGATTAGTTTTTGAAATAATCAAATCCTTGTCCAGTTCGAACACCCCAATTGGTTCGCCTGAATTGACAACGTCAAGAGAAAGTGTATCAGCTATATCAAAAGGGGTACCTTAGATCACACTTCCAGTAGAGTTATTTCATTACTTAAAGATCAGCGAATGGTTGAGAAGGGGTGTGACGCGTATCTAGCCTATGTGAGAGATGTCAATATTGATTCCCCTACAATTGATTCAGTCCCAGTAGTACGGGATTTCTCTGATGTGTTTCCAGCCGATCTTCCGGGCATGCCCACCGACAGAGATATTGATTTTGGCATTGAACTGTTGCCGAACACTCAGCCCATTTCTATGCATATGTTCATTGATTAAGCAATTCCTCCTTACCGTAGGAATTGCTTGATAAGGGTTTTATTCGGCCCAGTGTGTCACCGTGGGGTGATCCTATCTTGTTTGTGAAGAAGAAGATTGGTTCTCTGCATATGTTCATTGATTACCGCCAGTTGAACAAATTTACAGTGAAGAACCGGTATCCTTTACCTCGTAATGATGACCTGTTTAATCAGTTACAGGGTGCTCGTGTGTTTTCTAAGATTGACTTGCGTTCAGGTTATCATCAGTTGAAGATTCGGGAGCCAGATATCCTGAAGACTGCCTTCAGGACTCGGTATGGTCATTACGAGTTCCTTGTTATGTCATTTGGGCTGACTAATGCCCCAGCGGCATTTATGCATTTGATGCACAGTGTATTCCGGCCATATCTTGACTCGTTCGCCATTGTCTTTATTGATGACATTTTGGTATACTCCCGAAGTCGGGAAGATCATGAGCAGCACCTGAGGACAGTGCTTCAGACCTTGAGAGAAAAGAAATTATATGCAAAGTTCTCGAAAAGTGAGTTCTGGTTGGATTCCGTGTAGTTCTTGGGTCACGTAGTATCGAGTGAGAGGATCTAGGTGGATCCAAAGAAAGTGGAAGTAGTGCAGAGTTGGCCCAGACCATCCTCAGCTACAGAGATCCGTAGTTTTCTTGGCTTGGCGGGTTATTACCGTTGGTTTGTTGAGGGATTTCGTCTATTGCAGCTCCTACGACCAGGCTGACCCAGAAGGGTGCAATGTTTAGGTGGACGGAGGAGTGTGAGGAGAGCTTTCAGAAGCTCAAGACAGCTTTGACTACCGCTCCAGTATTGATATTGCCTATAGGTTCGAGGTCTTATACTGTCTATTGTGATGCCTCGAGGATTGGCCTTGGAGCGGTATTGATGCAGGACCGTAGGGTGATTGCATACGTGTCTAGCAGCTGAAGGTGTTCCTTGTGAGATCTACACTGATCACCGGAGTTTGTAGCATCTGTTCAAGTAGAAGGACCTTAATTTGCGCCAGATGAGGTGGTTAGAGCTGCTGAAGGACTATGATATCACTATCTTGTATCACCCGGGCAAGGCCAATGTGGTGGCCGATGCTTTGAGTCGCCGGGCGGAGAGTTTGGGAAGTTTGTCTATCTACCAGCAGCAGAGAGGGCCATGGCGATGGATGTTCAGGCCTTAGCCAGCCAGTTTGTGAGATTGGATCTTTCGGAGCCCAATCGAGTCCTTGCTTGTGTGGTTTCTCGGTCTGCCTTGTTTGATCGTATTTGGGAGCATCAGTATGATGACCCTCATTTGCTTGTCGGGACGCCAGAGATGTGACCATTGGTGATGAAAGGGTATTGAGGATGCAGGGTTGGATATGTGTGCCCAATGTTGATGGGCTTCGGGAGTTAATTCTAGAGGAGGCCCACAGTTCGCGGTATTCCATCCATCCAGGTGCCGCGAAGATGTACCAGGATTTGAGGCAACACTATTGGTGGAGGAAGATGAAGAATGATATAGTTGGGTTTGTAGCTCGGTGCCTCAATTGTCAGCAGGTAAAGTATGAGCACCAGAGACCGGGTGGCTTGCTTCAGTAGATAGAGATTCCGGAGTGGAAGTGGGAGCGGATCACCGTGGACTTCGTATTTGGACTCCCACGGACCTTGAAGAAATTCGATGCCATATGGATGATTGTGGATCGACTCACCAAGTCAGCACACTTCATCTCTATGTGTTCTACTTATTCTTCAGAGCGGTTGGCTGAGATTTATATCCGGGAGATTGTTCGTCTGAATGGCATTCCAGTTTCTATCATTTTAGATAGAGGTACTTAGTTCACATCACGGTTCTGGATGGCTGTACAGCATGAGTTGGGTACTCGGGTGGAGTTGAGCACATCATTTCACCCCAGTCGGACGGACAGTCCGAGCACGCTATTCAGATTCTTGAGGATATGCTTCGTGCGTGTGTGATGGAGTTTGGAGGTTCTTGGGATCAGTTCTTGCCACGGGCGGAGTTTGCCTACAACAACAACTATCAGTCCAGCATCCAGATGGCACCATATGAGGCTCTGTATGGTAGATGGTATAGATCCCCGGTGGGTTGGTTAGAGCCGGGCGAGGCTAGATTATTGGGCCCAGACTTGGTTCAGGACGCTTTGGAGAGGGTTAAGGTGATTCAGGATAGACTTCGCACAGCCCAGTCCAGACAGAAGAGTTATGCAGACCGGATGGTTCGCGATGTTTCACTCATGGTTGGAGAACGGGTCTTGCTTTGAGTTTCGCCTATGAAGGGCGTTATGAGATTTGGGAAGAAGGGGAAATTGAGTTCGAGGTTTATTGGTCCCTTTGAGGTATTGCGACGTGTTGGGGAGGTTGCTTATGAGCTTGCCTTACCTCCCAGCTTGACAGGAGTTCATCCGGTATTTCATGTTTCGATGCTCCGGAGGTATCACGGTGATCCATCGCACGTATTGGATTTCAGTTTAGTCCAGCTGGACAAGAATCTATCTTACGTTGAGGAGCCAGTGGCTATATGGACAGGCAGTTTCGAAAGCCGAGGTCAAAGAGTATTGCATCAGTAATGGTTCAGTGGCGGGGTCAGCCGGTCGAGCAGGCGACTTAGGAGACCGAGTAGGATATGCGCAGCTGTTAACCTCATCTTTTCACCACTTCAAATATGTCTCTATGCTCGTTCGAGGACGAACGAATATTTTAAGAGGGGGAGGATGTAACGACCCGGTCGGTCGTTTTGAGAATTAATGCCCCGATCCCCTATTAACTGCTTTCCCCGTGTTTATTTCTGCTAAGTGATTTGCCGGGAAGATTCGTTTTGAGTTTCTTAGTGTTTTGGGACACTTAGTCCCTAAATGAGAGCTTAGTTATAGAATTTGTACCGTAGTCGGAACAGTATGAAGACGGACTCGGAATGGAATTCCGTCGATTCCGTTAGCTCCGTTGGGTGATTTCGGGCTTAGGAGCGTGTTCGGAATGTGTTTTGGAGGTCCGTAGCTTATTTAGGCTTGAAATGCCGAAAGTTGAATTTTTAAAGTTTCCGGATCGATGGTGAAATTTTGATATCGGGATCGTAATCCAATTCCGAAAGTTGGAATAGTTCAGTAGTGTTGAATGTGACTTGTGTGCAAAATTTGGGGTCAATCGGACATGGTTTGGTTGGTTTCGGCATCGGTTGTAGGATTCTTGAGATTTCAAGTTCATTAGGCTTGGATTAGAGGTTGATTCGTGGTTTTAGTGTTGTTTGATGTGATTTGAGGGTTGGACTAAGTCCGTATGATGTTTTAGGATTGGTTGGCATGTTTGGTTGAGGTCCCGGGGGCCTCGGATGAGTTTCGGATGCTTAACGGGAGTTGATTTGGACTTAGGCATTTGCTTATATTGCCGAACCTAGGGGTGTGCATTCGATTTATCGATTTGATTTTGACCTTTATCGATAATTACTTATCGATTATCGATTTGTACATATGCTTATCGTAATCGTTTCAATAAGGTTTCGATTTTTTCGATTTCGATTTATCGATTTTTGGGGCTTATCGATTCGGTTATCGATTACACCAATAAGAAAATTTACGGGATTCCACGGAAAGTATATCGCTATAAACACGCCTAACTAATATGGACAAAAAGAAGCTAAAATAAGACGAACACCGTTTATAACATAAAAATTGTGTTAACAAGCACATGCAACGAAACTAAGGCACGAAGAGAGAGAGAGGGAGAAACGTACTATTGAAGTCGCTGGAGTACGCCAGAGTACGCCGGAGTTCGCCGGAGTTCACTTTCTCTGATGGGTTTGCAGTTCGCGAAAATCCCGAAAGTCATTCCCAAAACTCCCATTAGAACTCCACCTGGCGAGCCAGAAACTATCAATACTTGGGAATTAATGGAAGGTATTGAAGATAGTAGTCCGCTAAAACGTTCTCACCATGTCCGTAGCTTTTCTTTTAATGTTTCTCCTAATCCAGTTCCTTCTCTATACGATCTACCTACACCCAGAGTAAAAGATCATATTGAGGGATCCCCAAAGCCATTATGGGAGGAGATGGCTGAAGATGAAACGAACTTGAATTCAAACGATACGTCTATCGTGTCTGAG